GAATGATGAGTTACACATTTCCTGAAGTATTGTAGCACTCTGTGAAATCTTCAATGATGAAGTCATGGAAGAGATCATGCCCTCTATGCTAACCTTATACTCTTTGGGGAATGTATACCGAGGGACCTCGGAAAGGAGAAAAACTCCTGCACAAAGATGTTTAGCACCACAGTACATATTAACTCTAAAACCTGGAAACAGCTCATACTTCAAATTTCAAGTATTTGGAAAAAGCTATAAAAGTGTTAAATTAATATGGTAGACTATATATGTGTACATGTATATACACACATTTATATGATGCACAGATATATCTATATATCTATATCTATCTATCTATCTATAGAGACATATATAGATATATATCTGTCAGAGAAACCATTGTGAAGAAGTTTGTGGGAACATAGAAATAAGTAAATGAGGTAAAAAGTTAAAATGACACATATATATACACTCAGAGCCACACTGCAAAATTATTTCTTTATGGCAGTATTTTGAGGACTTTAAAGGTGGAAATCATTCTTCAGGGCAAAAGTTCTTTAATTTAATTGTGCAAAAGTGATCTAATAAAGCTTGGTAAACCTTGGAAGTTTAGAATGGCATCTAGCATATGGGTTCAGGAACTGCGTTTAAACAAAACTCCTCAGGTCCAGCTAAAATAGGCTATCTGTGGAAAACACTTTGGTACACATTTTAGTATGCTGCATGTGGGGAATATTTCTAGTTCACTTTTGTGTCCTTACTTCTGCATATGCACAATAAAATATTAAACAGTACATTTTTCAAGCATTCAGTAGGCTCATCTTATTAATAATAAATGTGTCCAAAGATATATACTTGAGAGGCTTATAAATTCCATGAATATATTTGTAATTTCCCCCATATATGGAAACGCTTTAAGCAGAGGACCAAGTCAGCTGAGAGGCAGGTCTCTGGGCAGCAAGCTGGGCTCAGTCAATAGCAGAACATTCTGTCCCTACCACCCACCATTCAAACCCTCACCAGCAAAATCCAAGTGTCCCAGAACATTGGCCACCCTACCTAGCCTTTAGCAGCTCTCCTTTCGTGGCCTCTCCTTTCTCAACGAGTTGTTTTCCCTTGGATTCCATGACAACACCCGTTCCTGGCTGTCCTCCTACTATCCTGTAGTAGGATAGGTTCCATCTGCTGTTCTTCCTGACCTGTCTTTCAGTTCCTGGTCCTCTTCTCATTTCTACCTACACTTCCTTCCTTAGTGATCTCATCTCACAGTTTTAAATACCATATGAATGATGAAAAGTAGCCCACTTGGACCACTCCCCTAAACACTAGCTTCTATGTTGTGCCACTTATTTAAAACTCAGTTTGTCTAATAGACTTCTCAGACTCAACATATCCAAAAATAAACTGATTTTCATCCCAAAATCTCATTCCCCAGCAGACTTTCCCATCTTGGTTAATGAAAATTTCAGTCTTGCAGTTGCTCAGTCCAAAAACTCTGGTGTCATCCTGGACTCTTCTTTCTCTCTCATGTCCTATATCTAATGCTAGTAAAATCCTGCCAGTTCTACCTTCAAAATGAAACCAGAACCAGAACCCTTCCATGTCTTTCCAGCTGCACTTCTGCCATGCTGGTCTGAGCTTTCAAATCTCTCTCTGGATGACTGCCTCCTGCTTCTAATCTTGCTCCCATACCTCAGTCTACAATCACCACTGCAGTCAGTTAAAGTGGTCCTTTCAAAATCTAAATCAGGCCAGGCCAGGCATGGTGGCTGCACTCCTGTAATCCCAAACACTCGGAAGGCTGAGGAAGAGGTTTGCAGGTTTGAGGTTGGCCTCAGTGACTTAGTGAAATAAGGGATAAAGATGTAGTTCAATGGTAGACTACCCCTGAATTCGCAGTACCACCCGCCCCCGCCCCCCCAAAATAACCTGTCAGATCATGGAATGAAGCTTCCACTCCTTGATAGCTTTCATCTGACTCAGAGTAGAAGCAAAAGCCTTTTCACTGGCATAGAAGCTATCATGATCTGGCTCCTGCTACCTCTTTGACTATTTCTATTCTCCCTCTCATCCACTCTAATTCAGCAAGCTGGCTCTCCAGTATCCCTCAAAATATGCCATTCTTCAGCTTTCAGCTCTTTGAAATCACTGCTTCTGTTTTTTTTTTTTAAACGACTTTCCAGAAAAGTCATTCATATGTGTCCACATGGTATCCCCAACACCTAACTACATTCTTGGCTTACATGTCTTTACAAATATGTTCACGGAATTTACATGCCTCACAATAGGCAATAGTGCACCATGTTAGATCTATATCAAGCCACACTACCTACAGTAACCCAGTCCTTACCTACCTATCACTAACTGTGTGTACTCATTTACTACATTTATTGTCTACTTGTTTGATCTTCCCCACACTAGACTGTAAGCTACACAAGGTCAGGGAATTTTCTGTTGTTTTGCTCATGATACGTCACAAGTATTCAGATAGTACCTGGCACATCATATCACTGCATAAATACATTTGTTAAAGAAAAAAACCACAAGAATTAAAGCCACATAATGTCAAGGCTCTGTGAAGATAGAAATTTCATGGAGTGATATCACTGTCAATCAAAAAGATACAACGTTCTGCTAGTTTCTGTCGACTGCAGATAAAATGTGGCTTTTAATTTTTTTTTTTGACTAGGCAACATTTTGGCCATAGCAACTTGGAGAAATAAGGAAGAAATTGAACACTTCTGCCTCAAAGTGTAGTCTAAGTAGAAAGAAGGACTCATCTGGATACTTGAGGCAGGTAAAACTTTGAGTATCTTTCTTTAAATCAGTGAATGATCCAGAGTCTCATTAGGTAAGAGATGCATCACAAATATGGAGAGACTTAATGAACTATTAATGAACTATTAATTGATGCAGCATAGAACTAATGAACGGATTAATAAATTATCAGAAGGATGTAATTATGCATGAGAAATTGTGAAATATCCCATATTTCATTCCTTTGTCAGCCAGAAAAGAAATTAGTTCTACTTATTCACCATCAAAGCAGTCATAGGGTTATTAAGTAAAAATCCCACATAAGAAATCCTTACACAGGATGTTTAAAGAACTAAAAAGAAGATCTAGGTTAAATTCAAGTCCTATCTCAAAGCAATTGTATAACTTTTGACAACAATTTAGCTTTCTAAACCTCAAGTTTCTCATTTGCGAAGTGGGACTAATAATTTTTTGTTTGCCTTCAGACTCCCTTAGTGACGGTAAAATGAGAATATGACTATAAAACTTCTTTAACAAATACAAATAATTATTGTCATTAGTTTTCTATTTCTCCCTCAGTTTTCAATCATTCAGAAAAATGAAACAACCATATGATCCAACTATACCACTCCTCGGTATTTAGCCTGAAGCATTAAAGTCAGCCTACTATAGCAATTCCTGCATACCCATGTTAATAGCAGCAAAATTCACAGTAGGCAAAGTTATGGAACCAGTCTGGGTGTCAATCAATGGATGAATGGATATTACATTTTCTTTATCTATTCATATAAAGAATATGTGTATGAATATGTGTATAAATATGTGTGTGTATATATACACACACACACACAAACATATTCATACACAATACAGTTTTATTTAGCCATAAAGAAGAATGAAATTGTGTCATTTTCAGAAAAATAGATGAAACTTGAGAATATCATATTAAGCAAAATAAATCAAATTCAGAAAATAAGGGTCATATGGACACTTGAGAGAAAAAGGGAAGAAACGGGTGGGTGGCAAGGGAGACATATCATGAAAATAGAAGAGAGGCCAATGGGGTAAAGGCAAGGGACAGGGGAGCGAAGACAGAAAGGAAAGGGTAAGTACTAGAAAACATAATTGGCCAAATTATATTGTTATATTTTGTGAATGTGTGAATATGCAGCAACAAGTCCCAGTATTATGAATAATTATAATGCACCCCAAAGAATTTTTTTTAATTAGGTAGCTGAAAAACTATGATATAGTACATCTCCACCTCAGTTTTATATATAAATTATTTAGAGCTCTTTAGAAAAAAAAATTATGAAACCTACAATGTATGGCTTTTCCATTTGCCTCAGTTGTCTTAACAACTTTGAGAGTTAACTCAAGCCTTTATTATTTTGGAGAGACAGAGTCTCACTTTTTTGTGGGCTGAGTGCAAACTCCCAGGCTCAAGCAATCCTCCTGCCTCAGCCTCCCTGTAGCTGGGACTACAGGTACTCACCATGCTTAAGCTTGAATTTAGGACTTTCCTCACACAGAATCACTCCCCTTACCCCATATTAGCAAACAGAGCCAAAATTCAAGTGGAGCTTGAGTTTGGGAATCCAATCATGACCAGTTTTGAAATATTTCCAAAGGATACCATTGCTTAATTAAACACTGTAATTCTCCACTGGGTCTAGCTGACGTAGGAAAGGTAAGTGATTTTGCTCCCTAATTTTCCTACATGAAATACAGGAGTCATTTTCTGATTTCATATTATGGTGTCCCTTTTGATTCTGATTTGTGATTTCTCACCTCAGCCCTTGTTGGCTGTTTTTGTACTTTCTCACCATTTTCCTACATCAGAAACAAATAAGCAAGACATTGGAGAATTTATTGCTAACAGGACAACTTCAACACTCTTCATTGCAGTGGTTATATTTGCAGATGCTATGAAATACCCAGGAACTAAAATGCAATTACCACATTTCATATAAATGTTAACTTTAAGAAGAAGAAAAGAAAATAAAAAACACCAACAGCCTATCAAAAAATACTTCTTTAGTATTTTTTTTTTTTTAGTTGTCAATGGATCTCTTTATTTATTTATATGAGGATGGAACCCAGGGCCTCACACATGCCAGGCAAGTGCTCTACCACTGAGCCATGAATCTAGCCCCTGCAGGTCAATTTTTAATAAAAATAAAGTAATTCTTAGAATACTCATCAAGTATATATGTTGTGAAATTTTAAAAAAGAAATCATAGCAAAAGCCACTTGCTTACCTGACTGATGTCACTCATCCAGGCAGCTTTCTCCTGGCGCGAAGGTGCTAATAAGACCACAGTGAAAGAGGCAGCATCAGGAGGCTCCACCACTATCTTAAAATCCAGGTGTCCAAACATGTGCCCAGAACCTTTGGCTTCAACATGTGGAAATCAAACAATTAGAAATGAATACAAACTATGAGCAATAGCTGCTTTTATACAGTTGAATTTAATATGATCCATGTGCATTCAGGGCCCAAATCTCATTTCAGCAAAAATATTGCTTCCTAGGCATGGGGAAGGCCACATGAGATAGCTGAGGGCAGGAGGTTACTCAAGACTAGGGTCCCAGTCTCCTTATCTCATGTTTAATTTCCATAGTGAATAGAAATACAACCATTTATTTCAACTCCTCTTTCTTTTCTGCCTGCCACTGAAGAGTCACTATCATGAGCCAATTTCAATAGAATGTCAGTTCTGAAAGACAGTTTATAAATGCTCACAGGTTAAATGGTTCAACAGGTAAATGATTTTAGGGAGTTTATCCTCAGCATCTCTTCTGCTTTCCTAGGCAGTTCCTCTTAAACCACAGAAGATCTACAAACACAACACTTAAAAAAAAAAAAAAAACCTAAAATAATTGTAAGTAATAATAGAATGTGACTTACAGTCATCATCACTTGCATCAGGCTCTTCAATCAATGTACATTCTATGAGAGAGAGGACCCCACCTGTCTGGAAATAAACCAATTTGTCATTTAGAGGCTGAAGGTCTTGCATAGGCTGGAAAGCTGTGACTTGTAAGTCTTATGTTCAAGTTGCCGCAGAAGAAAGCATCCAACAATTTTTCATAGAGTCCAAAATTAAACTTAGATATGTCATATAAATTGAACTCATTTAATTTTAGTCTATTCTCCCCTCCACCCCAATCTTGCTCTCAGTGTTTATAAACTTTAGTGACTCCATCTATGGGAGACTAGATAGCACCAGAGGGACGTCAGAGAACAACTATAGCTCAGCAATGGGCTGAACTCACCCAGCATGAAGTAAGTGGTTTAGAAAGTAGAAAGCCATCATCATGGTGTTGAATAATACTTTTAAGTAATAATAACAGAAGGGTTAGATAGACAAACTTCCTACAAAGGCCCAGATAGCAAATATTTTAGGCTTTGCAAGCCATATCATTTCTATCACGTCTACTTAAATCTACTGTATTAGCATGAAAGCAGCCATAGATGGATGATAAACAAGCAAACGGGTGGAGTTGTATTCCAAGAAAACTGTTCACAAAAATAGGCGGCAAGCTGCAGGCCATGGTTTGCTGACTCCTGGTCCACAGGAAGATAAAACAGCAGTTAGCAAATGGGTACTCTGCAATGATTTGACCATATTTTTGTAGCTCATCAGTCACTAATAACAATTTTGTTGAGGTTTTTTATTTAATTTTGTTTTTTACTTCTTTAAGATAATGCATACCTAAAATAAATTTCTATTACTTTGAATTCAAATGTCAACAAAGTAAGTTTCCAGAGCTGTGAACTGTACTTCCCTCTTTATGCAGTCATGACAATTTGTTTTAGGCTAATAGCAGACTTGGGAAAGTCACAATAGAGTAAACCTCAACACCTCTTAAGTGCCGGGAACATAAATGGAATAGTCATGGAAAGCCCATACCTTGAGCAGATGCAGTTTTCCTCCTGAACTTCTTGTACAAATTAAAAAGTGTTTTGTAAATAAGAAGCACTGTCTCTCTCCTTCCTTTTTCAAAGACAGTGAACCCAGGCGAACTTTACTAAGTTTCCCCCGCTCAACAGAAGGTACTTGTATAAGAGAACCTGGTGATTACAAAAGTGAAGAATACACAGCAATTAAAATTCTGTCAGGTGAGGACCATGCTCTTGGCAATAAACACAAGGGCCTGTTTCCCAAGATACTAAGCTTAGATTTAATGCATCATCAGAAAAAATAAGTCTCCTACACTCCGACAAGAAGAAACAATGCATTGTATTTTAAGGGTTGAACTGTTCCGAATACTTTTGTGACTGGAACATACATTGGAAAGAGGGTCAAACTGAATTCCAAGAACAAGGCACTTTTGCTCTCTCTCCTCGGTGATCTGATTCCAGTCAATTTATTCTTACTAATAGTACAAAAATTATATAATTACATATGATAATATAATAATATGATATAAATCATTTTTTTCTGAATTTCTGAAGGTAGATAAGTAGCATATTTATATAATTTACCTTGTATTTTAAAAAACAGAATGCATGCATATTATAAAAATACATAAATTAGGTATTTCAGTACAATTTAGTTTAGGACTATGTTTTAAAGGGCAGATATTTCAAGCTGCATTTAAATTATGTGTGATAAAAATTCTTTGTGGAATCTAAATAGAAAATAAACCACATAAAAATCTCCACCCAGAACACTACTGTGAGCACAGCTCTCCTCCACTCAATGTGAGAAGCTCTGCATGGACTTTATATAATACTGAGATTACCTCTGATTATTTCTAGATTACATGCTAAAAGCAACCTCCCTCACTCTAAAAATATTCCAGTCCATATATTAAATATTAAATCAAAAAGCCAAGCAAGATTCTTGCAAATACCTTGGTTCTGATTTCTGAAATCCCCTGAGCTAGTCATATTTCTCTCTTTGGTTAATTCACCACCTATCCCAAATGCAGCCCTACATAGGCTCATGTGGGCCTCATAAGAACAATAAGATGTATATTCAATTATTACAGTAAGGAGATTGCAAGCAACCTTGTTTTCCTCTTTTATTTTTTCTGGGCTTCTTGATATTTTAAATGAGTTCAGATTGCTTCTACATGTGGGGGGGAAAAACACTAAAATTCTTTACATAAAGAACACACATACCTAATACAATAAAAGTATGGTTGTGAATCACAAAATCTTCATATTCACATATGAATATTCTAAATTGCATCTAACTTTTAACAGAGATGAAACAATGTAAAGGACCTACGTTTCCATGCCCTGATCTCACACCCACTATTTAGGTAAGTGTTCAGGTGGGCTCCTTGAAGACAACAGGCAGCTATTTGGAGCCTAAAGAATAGCAAGGTACCAGTTCTGGGAGAGGGATTGGGATTGAGATTCAAAGAGTGAGGAGAAGCCCTGACTCCAGTGAAAGAATTGGGTAAGAGGAAAGCAAATGGAGGAGGTAAGGTAGGTGGGAGAAAACTGCAGACAGTTCAGGCAGCAAAGGATTAAATTTGAAAAGTAGAGGAGCAATGGAGAGAAGAGAAGGCAGGAAGGTTGGGAAAGTGGATGAGCAGGTAATGGCCGCAAAAGGGCTGTACTCCTGGAACATTGGGGGAGGGAACAAGAGGCCAGGAGGCCTTTCAGAGAACATGACTCCATATCTCCACCCCCCCCCCCACATACACGTTTACAGAAACTGAGGCCCGAGACCAAATAGCTCTCCTAAGGTCACTCCTAAGCAAGGGCCTACTCAAAAGATGAATTTGACAACATGAAAACTAAAAATTGTAATAGGAAGGGATGGGAAAAGATGGTAGGTGCTGCCTTTGCCACTGGTGGCTGGGAGTCACCCAGGGAGCTCAGTCAGGGCTGAGCCAAAGACTGGGGCTTGGACATACATCTTGGTGGACAAAGAGGCTGGGAAGTCATTTTTAGTAAGGTTATAACCAAGTCTGTGAAAAATCAGTAATTACATGTTCATTGATAAATGCTTCTAGCAATTTAATGACCTTCTAAGTTAGAAATGACAGAGCACACTGTTAGTTCATACATTAGCAATTATGTGAATTTCAGCTCTGAAGTAGAAAAATAGATGTTTCCTTGGTAACCATACATTGATATGCTTAATCGGTAAGTATTCACCTCATACCCAAGCAAGGGAATATGTGCATTAGGTATGGACACAAATTTACACAACCGAATTAAAAACAGAAATTTCAACAGTTTGCTGTATAAAGTAAAATGCTTGGAGAACAACATTTTAAGTAGTTTTTTTTTTTTTCACATTTCATTTTAGGATTGACATAGTCCTGAGAATTAAAGAAAATATTTCTCTCTTGTTAATACAAATGAGAGAAAAAAATTGAAATTCCTCAGTAATACACCATAGCTATGACCCAGTCCTTAGCATGCTGATCATCAGTCTATCTAATTGGGGTCAACTTACAACAGAGATTTTGTGATTTCAATCACTGAATTCCTGAGCAATGGCATCTAGACTGGCTAATTCCCTTAGTCTTCATTCCACTCAGTAGTGGAAAAAAAAATGAAGAGCAGTTTCCAGGTTATTGGATTAGGCTCTTGTGAAGATGTAATTATTTCTAAACCCTGTGCTACAATTCCAAAAAACACTGGTGTTTTGAAAGCACATAATTTAGAGTTTGGGGATAACTAAACTGCCAGACGGGTCCACATCTCCTTCTTAAAACTTATTTCAATATGATTTTATATGGGGAGGAGTGGACAGGTACTAGGGATTGAACTCGGGCCCTCGGCCTCTGAGCCACATCCTCAGCCCTGTTTTGTATTTGATTTAGATACAGTGTCTCATTGAGTTGCTTAGTGCCTCACCATTTAGTAAGGCTGGCCTTGAACTCACCATCCTCCTGCCTCAGCCTCCCAAGCCACTGTAATTACAGGCATGCACCACTGTGCCCAGACATTTCACTATGTATTGTCACTTTTATTTAATTTTCCTGATTTACATGTCCACAAGACAATGTTGACAATGCATATGGGTTTGTACAAAATGTCAATTTAAAGAGCCTTTAACTTCTAACAAATATTCATATTTATTTCATGTTGTCAGAAATAGAAACTCATTCTAGAATTTGGATCTTAGTTTTTAAAGTGAATGTCATAATCTAACAGGCACTAGTTTAGGAGATTTTGTGAACATCAGTTCATTTTATCTCAGCAATGATCCTAAAAGATACGTGTTACCATTAACTTCAATGTAAGGAGAGGAAACAGAGGCAAAGAAAGGTAGAGTAAATTGCCCAATATAACACAGCAAGGAAGTAAGGGAGGCAAGATTTGACCTGTACCATCTTCATCTTATTGCCTCTGATATTTATACATGTATTCAACAAAATTTATTATTAGATTTCAGAAAGTAAATTCAGAGGACCTAGATGACTTATTTTTTCTACTTCTTAGAATAAAAATTCATAGAAGGTTCAAAGTGTGCACAGACATGTGCAAACATACACACTAGAATGAACACAAATACTAGCACACTGTCAGAGATAAATTATAGTCTGTTTCACATAAAATAGAATACCTTGAAATTTTAAGGCATAGAAAATCTAAAAAACAGCCTGATGGGCCTTAAAGCCTGTTAAGAGTATTTAGAAAAAAAAAATGAGAATAGGAGCAACCAAAGCAAATCAGTGCACACTTTCCAAATGGTCTGTAATCCACCCCTTCTATTTTGAGATTAAGGACTGATATTCAGAAGCCATCTTTATTGAATAATTTCAAAACAGAATGACTAGATCAAATTGTAGAAAAATATCACCGAAAAGCAAACCATCATGTCAACATCAATACAATAATAACATCACAAATAGTAATAGCTGACAGAAGTGCCTTAAATATGTGGCACGTAACAAGAAATAAATAACATGGACATGATTTCTAGGGAGAAGTGGTGCATGATGTTTTTTTTTTTTTCTCCAAGTACAAGGGAAAATGATACGACCTAGTCAACATATTAGATCTTCCAGCGTTTTTTATTATCGGTGCTTTTTCAAATTCACACCCATACAATCACGTTTTTAGAAATATCACTCAATCCAAAGTCCTTTCAGAAACTGTCCTCAGGTTACAGAAACTTTTGTTTCCATTCTTGCATACTATAAAGCACATGTCAATTAGTAGGCATTTTCGGTGTCTCCAAGTAAAAGACAAACATAAAATATCCTACAGTCACAATTGCAATATTCAACAAATAGTTCGATTTAGTTCAATACCCATTTTCTTGGTAGCTATCTTGTAAAGCATCATACTAAAAAAGGCAGGGCAGAAAAAAATTTGTAAATGCTGCCCTTTAAAGCTTACAATTCCTGGGAGAGGCATGCAAACAGTACTCAGACACAAATGGACAAAACACATGCACCAGCAGCACAAGGCGTTGGAAAGGATGAGGGAGGCTGAGTGGTTGTAACTGGAGAGTGAGGAGGAGGAGGACATCAAAAGCCTCCTTAAAGGTATCTGACCTGAGCCTGATCAGACAAGCAGACTTTTGAAGGCACAAAAGAGGTGGATTAGGATTTTTTGGCCCCAGGCTGGGGACAGCACAGATGAAGGCACAGAGACGTCAAGTGCTGGGCAAGCAGCAGCCAATACGGGAACAGTCTGTTCAAAGGAGCAGAAGGGGAATTGCAAAGGCCTGATGTTCTTCGCAGTGTATTCCACTATTATTTAAAGAAAACTTAGTATCTAAAGCCAAAAATGGGAGAAGGAATCATTTCCCAAAATATGCTACCGACTTTAACATATGTCTGTTTTCCTTCCTTGTAAATAAATAACGGAAAATAGAATGGCATGCATTAAACTTTTAAACTATTCTGTATGAAAATTAATGTGCACAGCACAATATCCAGTTTGATGAGGTAAAAATAAAAGATTTTAAGCAGCCCATTACGGTAGGCAAAGGCAATGCAAGTCTATTCAAATGATACTGGCACATCATAACCAGAAATGAACTCGAGCTCCAAATTTGTGCTCCACTCCTCACCAAGTACACAACAGTAAATGTGTGCAAGATACTAGGTCAATTGCTCCCTCCCGCAATATCTAAGCACTTAAAAATAACGGACGGGGTTGACTTCTTGCACTTTGAAAAAAGAGCTGAGGAGGGTGTGCACTGTCCAGTTGTTACTTCTCCACAGCGTCTGGCACAAATATCTTCAATTCTTCAAAAGCTTAATTTATCAGGTGATGACCCCAGAGTACATTCCACATACACGACAGCTTCACCATTGCCAAAGCATGGTCAGGGTCGGTCAGGAGAGATTCCATCTGGTAAATGGAATTCAATTACCAGTTGAATCAAATTATATCCTGTGGGGCTGATCCAGAAGTGCTGATGAAAAATGGGAACAAGAGGCAGCTGTTTTCACTTCGGACATTGTCCCCACTCTTATGTGAAAGGGCTTTGAGGAATTCAAGTTTTTCTTGGGCCTTTGCCTGGATATCATCACCACCTGGCATTGCCACTCCAATTGGCCAGACCGACCTGTCCTCCTTGGAGCTGTAGAGAATGTCCGGTCCACTGAGGAGGAGAGTCCAGTCAGAGTGTAACTTACTGTCCCACTGGTGCTTTACTATTATTGTGTTGCTGTGTTTCATGGCCCCTGAAAAGAAACAGCACAGAGGTGGGCCTCAACCACAGCCTCGGTCAAGGCCACAAGGGTGTCCTGTGGGAACTGCAGCACTCACACACCTAAACCAGACCTGCTCCAGAATGCATCCCTGGATCTGCCAGTGACACTGTGACAGATGGAAGTCACGGGCCTGTTTCACAAGGACTTACCTTGGCGGATGAAAGTCTGGCTAGTGTCCAGCAAAATGTCGCAGCCCTCTACTATCATCCTTTCGATGGCAAGGTTTTTCCTTATATTTTCTGTGTCACTCACTTCATCGTGCATCACCCTGTCAGACAACACAGACGGACGGGATGGCAGTGAGACAGCAGTGACCTCCCTAGCACATAAGCAAGGAAGAGCTGCACCTGAGAAGCTCGGTTTAGAACTTGTATTGATTTAACTGGGGCTTTGGGGCAAAAAGACGGGGCCTCGAAAGGCTTCAACAGGTTGTGACCCAAACCAAGACCAGTGCTCATGAAGATTCTAAATGGTAAGCGGCTCAGTGATCGTGAGCATCCTTGGAAAACTTGGCTTTGAATGCAGCTGGAAAGCAACACATCATTTTACCTACAGCTCCCTTCATTGAAATGAGTAGCATTTCCTAGAGGTGCAGTAAATTCTCTTAATTCCCTTATACCATTTATCCCTGAGAAGCAAAGAAACACAGGTGTAAATAAGTGCCCATAACCATAACAAGCCATTAGGAAATGAACTGTACATTCTCCGCCTTTTTGTCAAATCTGAATACAAAACTGCAACTGAAAGTCATTTTTCTATTATGATGAAAAAAAATGGGAACATTTCCAAACTTAAACCAAATTACGCCTAATCTCAATTACATAAAATTCGCATGCTATAAAAGCTTTTTCAAAGATATATTTTTTTCCTTGGTTAAAATTAATGTGAATGATGATTCAGTATTATCTCACAGGCTCGCATTAAACTTTGAGGTGAATCTGACCCACTGGATTTGGGTGTTGCTTTCTTGTTCCTGGGTTCACACAAGAAGACTCAACTGCTGCTTTCCCATCTCAGGCCTTTACTGTAAGTTCTCTGCATACCTGGACAGCTCCTCTAGCTTTGATTTAGCAAACTCCAGACTCTTCCTTTCCACATGTTCATGGGGTGTGTGAGCCAGGAGTTCATGCAGTGTGATGATATACCTGGGAATCTAAACGTAAACAAGGCCAGCGTGAGCAAAGTCAGGATGGGTGAAATAGGGACATTCTCTACAGTGCCATCATTACACTGAAAAACTCATTGCTGCTCTTTGTTTTGTTTTTAAAATAGTTAAACACACACACACACACACACACACACACACACATAAAACAAACCATGCTTCAAATTTAAACACACACCAAAAAAAAAAAAACTTCACAAGTAAAGGTCATCATAAATAATAAAGTGGTGTAGCTCAAAGAAACTATTATTTCTTTTATTTTTATAAAACCATAAATTTTCAAATAGCAGTTTTCAAAACCTGGTTCATAGGAAACATAATCTGAAGTCTCTGATGTTTGCATTCTAGATATTTTTGTCTGTTTGTATGATTTTTTTTAAAGTTTGTTATCCTAAAGCAAAGTTCTTTTAAACTTCAGAGAAGATATGTTCAACATTATGACATTCTGATCCTACTTTATCTCAATTCACCCTTTGGCAGTAAAAGGCATTATTTCATTAGATCATTCTTTGTACTTTTGTTTATGAACAGACTGGCTATCTGAATTCTCTTAAAGGCAGAAACTCCACCAACCTTGTGAGGGTTTTTATAGACCAGAGTAGAGATCAGGTTATAATGATTTGACATACTCATGCTTCATTGGTTTATAAAATAGTTTTTTTTTAGAAAGCAGAGACTGTGGCCAGGCACAGTGGCACATGCCTGTAACCCAGAGGCTCAGGAGGCTGAGACAGGAGGATTTTGAGTTCAAAGCCAGCCTCAACAATGGCAAGGTGCTAAACAACCCAGTGAGACCCTGTCTCTAAATAAAAAACAAAATATGGCTGGGGATGTGGCTCAGGGGTCCAGTACCCCTGATTTTAATCCCTGTTATGAAACAAGAAAGCAGAGACTGTGGCATGGGCCACGGCTCCCGTAGCACTGCCTACTGTGCTCAGGGATTCTCGGGGCTTTGCACATGGGTCTGGTCCTCCAGCAACATAAGGATTCGTTCTCCACTTCACAGATAAGGAAATAAAGAGTGAGGAGGTTTTGACTTGCCCAAGGCAGCCTCCTGGTAAATGGCAGTTTCAGCTGGCTCCGGGCTCTGGTAGGGCACTGACCAGCTCCCCGCGGAGCCTTCTCACTAGATCACTTCCATGAGCCCCAGAGCCCCAGTCAGAACTTTAAAGAACTTGGAAAACGAGAACAGAAAAACAGCTTGCCACAGCCCTGTGTGCAGCTCTTCTGTCCTGAGGGGCTGGTGGCTCTATCTGTGGATCTGCTCCTGCTCTTGTGCAGGGGTGGCTTTAAGGGGTTATTTACTCACATCTTCTGAGTGGCTATCTTTGTGCACTAGCACAGTTGGCATCGAGCCCATCAGCACAACATTGAACTGCTCTTGCTGATCAAGTGACAGTTTCAGAAAGCACAGATAGACCCCTGGGTCTCAGGAGAGCAGGACACAGGAAACTGTAGGGTATATAGGGGAGACCTTCTGCCTCTTCATTTATAGACTTCTTTAGGGCTGCCCCACAGAGAGCAGTCTCCTGGGGTAAATATGCATTCAGATATCCCTTTCATTAGTACAATCCCATGATCAATAAAAGTTTGCAACAAAGTTAACAGTTCCACAGAAAACCAAGTCAATCAATGGCAATGTACTCAATTTTTCATAACAAAGGGGCAGGAGTGGGAGAGCCTGACTACTTAGAATGCACTGAAACCCCACAAAACTAAGTTTAGTCAATAGCTTCGAGATCCTCCTCCATTAGTTAAATATATTTTAAAGAGCTCCCTGGCTGAGATTAAGTGGATGGAGCTGAATTTGGTAAGTGGCCCTTTCTACTTTCTGGTGGAGGAACAAAGAAGGGCTAACACTGCCAAAAAGCAGGCAAAGGAAGTTGTGCTGAGGAGCAGAAGATTCTGCAAAGAGCTCGTCTGTGTGTTGGAGAGCTGATTACAGATCGCTTCCCCAAAAGAAGACCTAAGAATCATAGTAACTGTCTAAATGAATCATAACTCTGCTTTCAGTAATGGCACAAGTACTTGTCACTTCACTGACATTAATTAGCTCGCTCTTCAGTAAATCACTAGATAGAGCAGCAAGTGACTACCTTCCACAGAACATCCAACAGTGCTCCTCTCACCAGGAGCAGATTTCATGATCTGCTGAGGCCAATCTACACAATACCAGTCAAGCCACTGATTTGGCTAAATAAAAATCGCGTTAATGACTACATTATTTTCCATAACAAATTCCTTGGCAATACTTGAACTTACTGGTCTGACAGTTCAGTTGGGAATAATTTCACAGCACCATCCAAATTCTACAATTCCTCCCTGTTTCCATAGTTCAATATGACTCAATTAACAGCAATAACTAATTTACTTAACAAAAGGCACAGAAGGATGTAGAATACAAATCATCCTTTCTTTTCCAGAGGTACATGAACTAAAAACTTACAATTACCTCTCCCCTTCCTTCTGCCCCCATATCTAGGCTCAAGAAAAAGCTTAGGCCAGAGCCCCCTGGACTGTATAAATCTGGGTCACCTCTACCATTGTTTCCCTACAGCTAAAAGTGGGTAGTACCCTAGCCTCATCCTAAGATGTCCAGCCCTATGAGGGAGTAAGGCAGAAGTACCACTGCTAATTCAATGTGTGCAGAGGGGAGACCCCTCTGAATTAGCAACACCTTCATGGCTATTTCACCTCATTAGTGAAAGGTCCACAGGGAACAAGAAAGATAGAATGAACCCAGTAAGAAAACAATTCAAACTTCTAGCACCCCAGTTGGTTCATATGGCTTCTTTTTGGAAGAGGCAACAGGGAAAAACACCAAGTAAAGAAGACAGATGAGAGACACAAGGGGCACAAGCCCTCAGGCAGCAAACTTCGATGATTTCTCCTCTGGGTACATTCAAAATACTTACGAGGAAGCAAATAAAGACAATTCAATGCACTTTCAATTTGCTCATTTCTTTTTTTTTTTTCTTCTTTTTTTAGTTGTAGGTAGACACAATGCCTTTGTTTTAATTTATTTATTTTTATGTGGTGCCTCACATGCTAGGCAAGCGCTCCACCACTGAGCCACAACCCCAGCCCCTGTCTTTTTCTTGCGGCTGAATTGAGTCTGGCTAAATCCCTCATGCTTGAAGCTTCTCCCAGAGCAAATGCTCTTACAAGCTGTAACCCTGTAACCCTGAAACAAGCCAGAGAACCTCAATATCTGAGCCTACAACTAATGCTTCTAGGGCTTGGGGATCACCACAGTCTGGGGGTGGGTTCCTAAACTACACCAGGCTCCCTACAGTAACTACACGGTTACCCAAACTGACAGAACCAGCAAAGCCCCCCTGGGATTGAAGAGCCAGAGAGCTAGAGTGCTCGGAGATAACTAAAGCTCAGCTGTGTATGCTTTGAGATTAAGGTTTTTTCAATTATTTTCCCCAAAGCAAGGATCAAAGGGTGAGTGAGATGTCAGGTCTCCTTGAGATTCCCCAACCTAATGTCCTTTTTCTGACATAATGGGGATTGCTTATGGTCAACCAAAATATTGCTGTTGGTTTTAAAATCTAGGGACAGGAAGGGAAGGTAGTAGAGGAGAATTTCTCCACTTTTTAAAGAAACCCAAAGATCTTTCCAAGGTCCCCACATTCAACTGTACTTGGGCACCCCACCTCCATGGCAGGTGCAGTTCTGCTATTTAAAACACTGAAAGAATCAAGAGCAAATGCAATAACATGTAGAAAAACTTCAGTGGGCTGTGAGAAGGAAACTAGGTCTCTCTCTGAATGTCCCGTGTATCTGTCATAACTCTACCTTTGCACAGTCACCTTGGGACAGTTGAATAGGTAAAATTTGGAATATTGAATTACAACTAGAGGTTAATGCCCCAAATTCAAAATTCAAATAAAATCACAGGTTAGAAGAATTATACAATATATGAAAATGTTTCACTGTGAATAAAACCTAAAATTCTAATTATGAATGTAATGAAATAGAAGTTCAAAATTTTTCTTGCGAAATATTTCCTCAGAGAGTTCAAACAATTTTGTTCCATAAAAAACAAAAAACAAAAATAACATTATAAAATTTCACTATACTTAAGTGGTTTCAAATGCATCTTTCTGGTTTTTAAAAAAATCTTACTAAATTTCTGTGGCAACTTCCAGGAATTCAAGCAGGACTAACAAACTTAAAGATAAACAATTAAGAACCACAGTAACATTTCTTTCTGAGGCTAAGAAATGATGGGCCTTGGGTCAGAGCCACCTGCTCAGGAGGGCAAAACTCCCACAGTAACCATAACACACATGATTAGTAGAATCGGTTTGCCACATGACCATTTGGAGGACTCACCAGAAGCCCCATAAATTCCACAATGGGAACACTCAATGCTTTTCCAAAAGAACAGAATCGACAGTTTTCAAAAGAACAGGAGATTCAATACACATTTTGGCCTCTGCCGTTCTCACTCCAGAGCTCTTAATGGCAAAACCCCAGACACAGGAAAGACACAAGTGGCCTTGATCCCTTGGTTTGCTCTAGACCCCAAAAATGAATCTCAGGTCAGAGCCCCGACTCAACAAGGTGATCTGAGTGAGGGCCTCTGGTTCTGAAGTCTCCAGAGCCTCTCTAACCAGGGAGTCCTCCTTTCCTTCCCCAGAACTGCAGCCAAAGAAACTCAATGACCATCAAGACAAGGTGGGAGGATGGGCCACAAACAGAGGCCTTCTCCCCGAAGTCAGAGCAGTCCCAAGAAACGTTTATGCAACCAGCACAAACTGGAACATTTGCACAGAATCCTATTTCTGTAAACCTAATAATATTTTTAAACATGCTGGAGGAGGAGACTCCAATGAAAGAAGTCTGTGTGGAATCTTTCTATAAAGAGAAAATTGTGCTGCTTTTCAAAAAATTCATTCCTGAATTATTTGCTTCCAAAATGCCTACTTTCTGGTCTGGGGATGTAGCTTAGTGGTAGAGCACTTGCCTAGTATTTAAGAGGCACTGGGTTCGATCCCCAGCACTGCAAAATTAATTAGTTAATCATTAATTTCAAATCACCAAAAATACCTGGATTCTTATACTCTAGACAGAAGACGTGTTTGTTTCAGGGCCAGGCTTAAGACAATGTCAGATGATGCATAACTCTTCATTTATACTTATATGTATTTACATGCCTTGTGCTGATCACAGTAGGCATCCGTTACAATGGCATATAGAACGCATCCCAAGCAATTTACCTGAAACATTGGATAGGTCAAGAACGTTTCCAGCATCCTCCCCTCACAGGCAGGGTTGGCTTCATATTGTTTTAAGAGTTTGTCAAAATCTCTGTTTTGCTTACAGTTGGCAAGGACTTGGAGGCTGTACTGGTGATTTCGCACAAATTCTTGATAAATGTTCAGCATGGGGAGCAAAATATCAAACAGATCAGCTGGAAAAGAGAAGTAAACATGCTGTTTCCCTTGGTGCCTGATAAATTATCTACACTCAACAGAAAGAGCAAAGATGGGCTCCCAGCACTAGGTATCACACAACATAGGGCCCTAGTCCTCATGCCTGAATAACCTATCTGTGTTGGATAGAAAGTATCAGAGACAGACAGTGACTCCAGCCCCAAATTACCTATGACAAAGGGAAAGAGTCAAAAGCTAAGTGCTAAGGCAGGGCCCAAAGAACCTAAAGTGCAGTGACACGGACTCCCGGTGGCTAAGGAAACCCAATGTCAACAGGGACATTCAGACGGCTAAGGCCAAATGACATACAAGTTATTATACTCTGTTGCCATTCCATGAGAAAATCATGAATGCACTTACCTAAAATTAAAGTAGGCCAGTTTGCAATCCTTGCCTTTAGTCCTTGGTGAAATATTTCATGGAGAAACATGATGGTTTCACTATGAAAAAACAGGAAGATCATACAATTTAGTCACTATAGAGTGTCTGTTATATATATGATGTACCAGTCTCACAGGGCCACCAAACTGTGCACCCAATATTAATGTGTACTACACTAGCCTCTATAAAGGCATTTCTCTTTTAGACAACCTCAAAAACTGAAAGAAAACTGAGATATGCTTCCAATATTGGAGAACCAAATCACTATCTTATGACCCTCTTCATCATTTTTAAGTGAGCTTTCTGCTGTTAGAATGCAGCACTTCAACTTATAATCATAAAATTAAAATTATGATCCTTTTTCTTTTCGTATTTGATTCTAGAAAACTCAAGAAAAGGTTTCTCTCACAAAAATGAGTTTTTATAGAAGGAGGTAGAGGGCAAAAAAATACAGTAAAAAGTTTGACAGGACTCTAACCATTCCTAAGTTACTCAAGGCAGAAATGTAAAATTCTTCTGAAAAGAAATGCACACAGATACTAAAATGAGGACCATGCATAAATTAGGGATCTAAATTCCTACTATGGCCAAGAAGGGTAAGCACCAAAGTCAAAATATATTTTTCTTTCTTCTCATTAGAATTAACCCACTGCAATGAGCCTTTGAATGACAGCTTTTCTCAACTAACACATTGGTATAATTAAATACAGAATTATTGATCTCAATGAGATACCTGGATTTGTATCAAAATTTATTACAACAAACCTCAAGAAGAAAGTTCTTACTATTTCCAAAACTAAAATGAATACAGCTTGAAGATTATGACTTTGTTGTTGTTTTATAGAAATTTCAATGAATCCTTTTATTATCTAAGGATTTCTAACCACATCTAGTTGGCAAGTCCTATAGATTGTCTTTCAATCAGCATTCTACTCTCATTCTAGGCAAGCTAAAACTGCATTTCCCAGATTTCCTTGAATCTATGCTCTGGATGTAAATGCATTTCCACCATGCATGCACTTGGCAAGACATGGAAGACTGAAGGAGACCACATTCCTGTTGTATTTTCATTTCTAGGAACAGTTTCGTGGGTCTGTTATGGTGGTGGTGGTCATGGCATTAGTTTCCTAAGCTCTGGGTCACACCTATGGTGCTCTGCCCTTAAATTCAATACTCCAGGGGCAGCTGTACTCCTCCAGCCCTTCCAAGTCTATAAGCAGAGAATTCCCTCTATCGGGAGGTATTGCTCTATCTTACCTTGAAAACTGATACATCCAGCTTCATATTATGATACCTGGATGTTTAGAAGACAGATGAAACAGTGCTGTATAGAATTAGGCAGATTACATTTTCTTAAGTATAAACTCTGTGTTGAAATCTAAAACAACTGACTTGCCTGGGGCTTTAATTTCAAAGGCTAGGAAAGGGAATCTAGTTAAACAATGGTTAATGACAAGAAACACCTAAGTCTCACCTTTAAAAGCATTTCACTTCAAATCTATCTAGGACTAGGTATGGTAAACCATTACTATAGAAAAAGCTTTTTTGCATCACCTCCCCAAAAGAGGCACAATGTCTCAATTCTGAAATTAAACAATATGATATACCTAGCCTTTCATGTTTCTGATTAAGCAAACCAATGGATACAAACCACTAGGTGCAACCCCAAATCAACATGGCACAGACTCTAATAGCATCACTATCAGGCAGTGTGGTTTTTCCATCCCATCCACAGAACTGTTAAAACGGCATGCTTGGATGACTGACATATCATCAAAATGCTAGCTGTACTGTCCAATGATCAAGAGCTACCACTCAGGCCCCTTAGGATAGCTGACATACTTGAGTAGAGCTGTGGTCATTGCCACTCAACGTGAGGAAATGTCCCTCCTTCCTTTCAACAAAAATTCTTTAATTTTTTTTTTACTTTTTAATTTAATTAAAACTTTTAAAAATTAAAAGTTATTGTTATTAGTTGTAATTAATGTTATTATTGTTATTGTTATTAATATTATTAATGTGATCATGTGCCACTACTCAGCCTTCCTTTCTGCAGCCATCCACACAGTCCTAGTCATTCTTCCTACCTTCTGGAGATCTTAGCCACCAGCTCACTTTCTCCAACACAACTCCTCTCATAGTTTTTGGTGATTCCACTCTGCACACAAACCACATTTCAATATCCGGGCCTCTCAAGTCTTTGAACCCCCTCTCCAAACATCTCGATCCCAGTTGACACCAGTCAAAGCCCCCATTGACTATACTCTAGACTTTGTCACTGTTAATAACTGCATCCTATTCCTATCTCAGCTCTCTGACCACCTCCTATTGTTTCAGTTTGCTGTCTTTAAGACTCTTGACTCCAAAAAGCCTTTCATACAGACAGGACTTAAGTTCACAGATCTGACCACCTTTGCATTGACCAAAATACCTTTCTACAAACTTTAGATTCCACGGGTCATTATATCTCTTCTTTGCAGACACTTTCAATTCTGTTGTACTTTTCTCAATTCATCAGATCAGCCTTACACAACACCAACCCCTAACATCAACCCTCCACCCACCTGCACCTGCAACCACGCAACTAAAAGTAGCTAAAGAAAAACATGCAACTATACAGACTGGTCTCAGTTACCACCATGAGCCTAATAAACTCACATGGGCTCATAGTGCTGCCCAGCAACTCACTACAGCTCCCTGATCCACCGACTCCCTGCTCTACTTGACCACTATTCACATCTTCTCCTATCTCATCCAACTATGACATTTCCTCTCCATCTGCCAGCTGATGTCCTTACTTCCTAGTTACATATGTCTTTATCCTCTTCCCTCCTTTATTCCCTCCCTGCTCATGTTCCCATTAATACCAGTCTCTCCACTGTGTATCTCGTTCTCTACAGTTTTGCCCGTATAAGCTTGCTGCTCCAGCAATCCTCCCCTCTCTTTCCTGCATCATTTCCCCCTTTATTACCTCTAGGTACTATCCTATTTCTCTGCTCCTATTTATAGCAAACTGCCTTGAAAGAATTTTCTATACTCACCCTCTGTAATTCCTATGCCCTATGCCATTCTCTCCTAAGGCCCCCTAATCAGGCTCCCGCACTTCATCAAAGCCACCCTCAGCTCCAAGTTGTTATATCCACGGTCAGTTCCCAGTTGTTTTATTTGACCTTTCTGTCATAGTTGTTCATTCTCTCTTGCTGCTAACTGATCCTCTTTTCTCTTCTTAGCTACTCTCTCTCTCTTATCTTCCTAATTTCTAAAGGGGTTAGTGCTCCTTTCTCTTCTGTGATCTATCACTGTCTTTTGTGCAGAAGGAGGGAGATAAGATAGTATATTTATATCTGCTTACATCTAAATCAAGAAATCATAAAAGGCTACAAGAAACTAATAAAAATAGATACAGAAATTGGGCAGAATGGGGTGAACAGAGACAGGATAAGAGTGCAACTCTGAATTTTTTTTCATGTTATTTTGATGTTTGTATCATGTAAGTGTGTTATCCACTCAAAAACAAATAAGCCATTAAATTTTAAGTAAAACACCCAACCACTCCTTTCTCCCCTCCTCTCCTATCACTTTTAATTTTTCTCCTGGTACTGACCACCATACAATTTACTACTATATGTTTTATTTCGTCACTATTCATTGTGTTTCTTCTCACGTCAAAATTTAAGTTCTGTGAAAGCAGGGATTTTCTACTTTATTCACTAATTAATCCTCAGCCATAAGAACACTATAAATATTTGTTGAGCAAATAAATTCAACAAGGATTCTTAGTTTTCACTCTTCCTAAAATATCTTATGTAAACTGCATGTAAAGACCTATTAATCAGTCCATTCCCCTCTGCTGCAAGGGGGATTCTTTTCAACACCCTTACCCCACACACACATAATGACAAGAAAATGTATGTCAAAGAAGAAAACTGAGAAAATGAGATGCCAAGATTCAAAAGATGTGCTAATTTGGACTAATGAATGCAATGATAGCTTTCTTATTTTTAACATCATAGGGATTCGTTTTTGAGATCTTGCAAGGCACAAATTGTTTCATGAGCTATCAGCAGGATCTTCTCACAACTCTCAGATTTATGCAAAGACAAACCTGTTGAGAAAAATACTGCTGACATCGTCGTGGCTGATGGGCGGCTTCTTGGAGCTGGCGGCCATCCGCAGGGGCCGCAGGAACCCATTGACCAGGATGTAGAGCTGGTGCACGTACTCGGACTCGGCCTCCACCATGGTGAACACGATCTGGTTTCTCTTCCTCATACTCTCAGCATGAGGAGAACAAATGTAGTCTTGCACAATGGTCTTCCATTTCCTTCTGCACAACCACCCTCGCATGAAGCTCTGAACCTGCGGAACAAAAAGACAAAAAGGAACCTCAGGGAGATGTGAGCCTGGCTTTCTAGGCTGGCCGTGTCCATCCTGTGTCATGTAGAATGCTGCTCTCTCATTGGTACCCCAGTGGCGCCTCCAGTAGAATAAATAACTGCAGAATTTCTCCAATAGGAGGACAATGGATTATAAAATAACATTTTTCTCAGGTTCAAAAGTTTTTTCCATAGCTGAAGCTCCATAGACCTATCAATGTGGACTCTGGAAATATAATATTACATATGAGCTAATAACACTTCAAGAAAGGAATTAATCAAATGTCTATTTTTAATAATAAAAAATCATATATACGTATGTATATATATGTGTATGTATATATATATATATACACTATATATATATTTAATGTTTAAGTTGTGATTTAAAAAAAAAAACATGGAATTTTCCACTTAGTGGTTTTTATTTTCCCAGTGCTGGGGACTGAACCAGGGCCTCATGCATGTGCTCTACAACTGAGCTCCCTCCCCAGCCTCATCTTAATTATCTTTAGGTATACACTCAGTAGTGTCCAGTATGTTCATACTGTTTTGTAACAGATCTCCAAACATTTTTATCTTGCAAAATTGAAACTCCAGCTCCATTCAACAACCACTCTCCATTCACCCCTCCCCTCAGTCTGTGGTAATCACCATCCTGCTTTCTGTTTCAGTGAATTTCACTACTTTAGACACACAATACAACTGAAATCATACAATATCTGTGTTTCTGTGACTGGCTTATTTCACTTAATATAATGTCTTACGTGTCCACAAGGTTCATCCATATAGAAGCATGTGCCAAGATTTCCTAAAGTTCTGAGGATGATTCATATTATGTTGATTGCATTTATCAGTTGGTGAACATTTTGGTTGATTTCACCTCTGGAATATTATTGTGAATAATGTTGCTATGAACATTGGTGTATAAATATCTCATCAAGGTACTGATTGTTTTTTCATTTCTTTAGGATATGTACTCAAAAGTTGAATTTCTGGATCCATGGTAGTTCTATTTTTAATTTTTTGAGGAACTTTTTTCCACAGCAGTTGTACTGTTTTATAATCCACATTGCACAAGTGTCCCAGTTTTGCCGCATCCTTGCCAAAACAACTTTTCTGTTTTTGGTTTTATTTATTTGGGTTTTTGTTTTATTTATTTATTTATTTGTTTATTGTTTTGTTTTGTTTTTGTATTAGCTGTGCTAATGGGGGGAGGTTATACATCTTAAGTACTTTGCCTTCTTTAAATTAGTTCAATATTTTTTATTGTTGTTGAGTTCTATTTTGTTTTCCTTAAGCTTAAAAACAAAATACGTGTTAGAGATCAGCTCATCCAAATCCTTCTTCTATCAATGAGCAAACTAAATTTCAAGGTAAGTCACACAGCTAGGAAAGCTGCAATCAGATTCAGTGGACTTTTATCAGCCTTTCCTAAATTGTAAGAATACTTATCTAGCCACATGAGCAAGATACAGTTTAACTATTTGCAATGGTGATTATTTTGTGAAAAAGAACATGAAACATATTTTAATATAAAATGTACTTTGTAGAACCTTACTAGCCTCTAAAACTGAGTTGCTTAGGACCTCATTAAGTCCTGGCTTTGAACTCCTGATCCTCAACCTCCCAAGCCGCTGGGATTACAGGCATGTGCTACCATGCCTGACTTAAGAACATTTTAATAGAACTGTATGAAGAAGCTATTGCATATATTTAGGAAAATCTAGTGGAAAATTTCTGTGAATTATAACCAATTAAAGTTGTGGTCACTTTTCCCCATTTTTTAAAAAATTGGTGCATTATAGTTGTGCAAAATGCTGTGATTCATTGTTACATATTCATACATGCATACAATATAACAGTATAATTTGGCCAATATCATTTCCCAGTATTTCCCCCTTCAAGTTGTGGTCTCTTGAAGTAAAATAAACAAACAAACAAACATTACATTTTGTCAAGCATAGAGATGCAATTCATTTGTAAACATTCATTTCCACAGACATTAGTTTCATTTGGAACATAAAGGACATGAAGTTAATTTTCAACCTATTTAACAAGTACACGAGTAGGTTTAAAAATTACTACAATTAAGAATCAGGGCTAAAGATGTAGCTCAGTGGTAGAACACTTGCCTAGAATATATGAAGCCTAGTACTGTCCCCTCCCCAAATAATAATAATCAGGAAGATAGAAAATGTAAAAAAAAAAAGTGTTTTATCATCATTCTTCCATGTATTACATATATTTTCAAAAATCAACTTAATTGAGTTTTGTGTTAAATAAAGTCTTATTTACTTGGGCAGGTGTTCTCTGCTGAAAAACAGCTAGATCTGTTACTTACCAATAGACCTGCTTTTACAAGAAAACTGAAATGAGATTTTATTAATAGCTTTATTTACACGCAACTGCATACTATTAAAAGAAAAGCAACAAAATTAATCTTGGAACAGAATAACAAACCAGATTTTTTAAAAAAAGAGGTTTAAATTCTAAGAAAGAAATAGTGTTATTTTACTTTTTTATTTCTTGAAAACCAAAAACTCTCATTTTAGCCCAAAGAATCATTTCTATTCCAAATTCTGAGCAATACTTGGTTAAAATTTTGTTACAGCTTAAAAAAAGGAAATGATTATTTAACATAGAAAAATATGAGTAAGAAAAAAATTAAGATTCAAAATGTATTCCAGGAAAAGAGCTTTAAATGGGAAGCTTCATACCTGATGTTAACAAAGCTGAGTGTTTTACGCAGGTCAGTTAAGACCACGGAATCAAAGCCCAAATGACATAAATCGAAATACAGTGGACTAGAATGTGCGCCAGTGTCTGGCTCCTAGCAAAAGTTGTACAATTACAAATGACAGTAAGATGGAAAAGTCTGTTGCTTATGTGGATATTCAACAAGAGACAACTGTAAGACAAATCTGAGCAGATGTATTGATTTATTTTACATTCTCAAATATAAAAGAAATTCTAGATAAGCACTAAGGATAGATGTTAAGAGAAATATTTTTGAAATGTAATTTTTAAAAATTCCCCCAAATATGCAAGAGGCACAAAATCAGGAGTTTCAATAGCACTTAATTAACCCAACTAGAGAACACTATTCTCTTAATGTCCAGTTTTGGCATTCCTCCCAGAGAGTCCAAAATAGGATTCTCAGTACTGGAAAGAAACGGCACACTGAAATTCTCCAGAGCAGCCAAGATTGGACCATTCTGAAGGGCATTCTGGGTGTCATTAACATAGAAACACCAAAGCTGTTCCCAGTTCAGGAACACAGTCACAAAGACACCACCACAAGACATACAGTGGTGGCCATGCTCCCAAAGGGCCAGAAGCCTCCAGTGCCCTACCTTTTTAATCTTCTTGATGTCTGGATCCTCATCTTCTTGGTTGCTTTGGTAAGGGCGCATTCGTTCCTTGGTTTTATTAAGAGCAATAATCTATAACACAAAATTAGTCCATTTTATGATCTGGGAAACAGTGGAGCACCGCCATAACACACAGGATGTTCTGCCTACAAAGGTGGTCCACTGAGATATTCAGGGAATGTCTGCTTTTTTGCACCCTTTCTTTCTCTGGTGCTGAGGCAGGGAAGTATGAATTTTACCTCTAGCCTGGTGTTACTAACAAAAGTGAATATGTAAAGTGTGAACTGGGGTCTGTGTTTGAAGACATGTTAGCCCAGAACTTGGCCCTCCCTGACCAGACCAAGGCCTCCTGGGACCTCAGTGCCTGTTGTCCCCTCTGCCTGAAGACAGTTGTCCCTGATGCATTGTGCTTCCCAAATTCAGGGTCACTACACTCAAAGCTCATTTCCCATAATCATCCTGTGTCCCTCCAAATGCACATGATACAGCAGACTCACAGTCCTCCTTGGAAAGTGGTAAGTAAAAAGGAAACCCCAGAGGCCTGGAGTCGGTCTAAATCAGTCAAGAAGATTCCTCAGAAAATACAAAAGGGATTGAAACAACCTGGGATATCTCTCCATGAATCTCCAGCTCAGTTCTATAACTGTGACCAAGAGGCCTCTCAACTATGCCTAGCAATAAAATACACTGGACTACCCATCAACTGTGGACTCTTATATGCAAAGAATATATACAGACTTATTAACAAGAAAGCATGTAGAAGATTGCTACCTCTGATCTGTCTTTGTCTCCAATACCAAATATATTCCTCTGCCATTTTCTGGCAGGGAATTGGGAAAATAAAAGGAGTAGGAAATAAATTATGGTTCCTGTCAAGCGGCCACAGAAGACATACCTGCTACTGACAGTTTTTAGCTGCAATCTATATTCAGACTAAAATAGAACATAGTGAAGACAGACAAGCACACATAAATAAATGTTGGGGAACATCGCTTGTGCTGAGTTTCTCTCATGGAGTAAATACCAACCTCCTTCACTTAGCAGACAAGCAGCATCTGCTCTAGCTTACTCTGGTAAAAGAAAGAACACAATAATTTTGTTTTAAATTATAGTGCCTGATATAGTCTTTTAAAATGCAGGTTTGTTAAGTTTTCTGTTGCTGTTTTCACTGTATCAGATATCAGGATCAGATTGGGAAGCTGACAATTCTAATGATATGGTGAACACCATATCATCTCAAGAAACTACCCCATTTCAGTTGGAATCAGATTGTCTGCTCTGCACACTGAAGGCCATGTACCCAGGGGGCAGGAGATGAAAACCCCTCACAGGATTTAGGGTAAGTCTCAGGGGAAGGTGGGAAGACAAAAGAGAAAACTATTGTCTGATGACAGTAAAAACGACAAGAGTGTTGCCAAGGTCAAGGCACCTGAACTGTCTATCAACAAGGATAACAATCAGTAGTAGGTTTCCCGCTGTCCTGTTCCCTTCTTGGAATCTAAGAAGATACTAATGTACCTCTGCTTAGAACGAGGAGGAAAATCTCACTGTGTACATTCCCCTTCTCTTCGTCAGTTATTGTTCACTTCCCACGAGGACCCACAGGATGGCAAGGAGTACAGTCAGGCTTCTCTACACAGACTGAGACCCAGAACAGAGGGAGGCACAACGCCATGGCTGTGGCCTCTACCAACACCTTCTGCTCTCCCTAGGTAGCAACCACCTTCTCTGGTAGTGCAGGGCCTTAGAAAGACACACTCTGAAAGGAAAGGCCAGGAGAGGCAGGAATCCAACTTCAGGGGGAAATGCACCTTAGCCAGTCAGTATCTTATAGCTTCACTGAAATGTGCTTTTCAAAATTCTGGAGGGGAAAAGTTTGGATTTCTTTGATCTTGAAACAGAAATGTATCTCTGAATTAACTTCTGGTTCTTTCTCAGATGGACTTTAATTAACTCCATGACAGATTCACAGTTATTATTCCAAAAGCCAATCTGAGGATGACAGTTAAATGCTATGGGCAGCTCTTGAAGTTCTGATCTAATGAAGGATATCAGGAGCACAAATAATCAAAAAACAGCATATTATCCTGATATGTTCCTGTAGCACATTTACCTAATCCTTACAGATTCATGTCTAGATCAGTAGCCCAGCCACACTGCTGACAGCTAAGGAAGTCAGCCTGGGGTGAATATTTTGCCCTAAATATGCTGTAGATGATCATGAGGAGATGACAGTAGATGGGAAACAATGAGAAGGAGTCTTTGACTGGGAAATACCTCTGATTTAAGCCTTTCGATTTCAGTATCTTGATCTTCAAGTTGATGTCGGAGTTGGTTAGCTGCAATTTTTTCCGTTTCTACGATCTGGACTAGATGAATGTACTTCTGCATTAAGACTTCCCTCTCAATCAAAATGTCTGCATAACTGCCGAGAAAATTGCACAGTTAGTCATTGAAACATTGTTCTTTTATATAGTTCCATGCAGAACAGCAGACACTAAACAAAGATCCCATGAATCCTGTTTGATTGTAACTCTTTCTTATAAAAACATTAACTTTCAGTTTATATTGGTGTCCTTCAATGATACAGATTTTGAATCATTATCATTTTTCATATTCTTTACTAAGAATTCTGTACTCAAAAGTAGTAACTACCCACAATTTTATCATGCAGGTGAGAAAAGTGCAAAGGATGTCTGAATCATTTTAAAAAGAAAGTAGTGTGGTTTCTTTAACAGAGAAATGGATATCTTTTGAACTGATGGCACATGCATTTTCAGGATTCCATTCAAAATATTTCATCAGGGAAAGTACTAGTCAATCAAAATAGACCTGCCACCAAGCAGAGTGAATGCAACAACCATCAGAATAGGCACTGGCTGAAAGTACTGTTATGACTGTACTAGTGGCCATCAGATCCATTGGGCTCTCTTTAGAACTACAAGACCATTCACTAGTCTCTTTTTAAAACAACAGAAGCAACACACATTCTAGAAATAGGCTTAGATTCTTTTTGGTCCTAGCTCTAACAGCCTAATCTACATCCATCTCTTTGACTAAGCATTGTTCAGACAAAACTCACTCTTAGATTTTTATTGACAATGCAGTTCTGGAGCATTAGAAATTTTGTCTCCAGATCTTGCACTATTCAGGGTGGTAAAATGCATATTCCTCTCTTCATATAATCTTTTCAAAAGGGTATAATAATAGTAATAATTAATAATAGTTACTACTTTTGAGTACAGAGGATGTACCATGTTTTCTCATGTCATCCTCCCAGCAACCCAGGAGATGCAGTTTATGATCCCAATTGCAGAGAAAAAATTTGGTCCTCACTGATCACATATTGGCCTCAGGACACCCAGCTAGTAGGTGGCAGGGCTAGGATTTAAATCAAGGTTTGTCTGACCAAAGTCCATGCTCTTAAACACAAGCTACCTTCTCTCCGATGAGAAATAGCATCCGATTATCTTGATGTAGCTGCCCAAACTTCCAGCTACTTACTTGTCTTGAGGACTTGAGCCACAGAAGCCATGTTTATGCCACAAAACCTACTTTCATGACCACACTGGACCAGCCTAAAAAGAGAACCGGCCCCAGCTAAATACATTCTTCCTCCTCAGAAGCTAGGATTGTGCCTCTGCCCTGTTTACTTGAACTGAGACACTATGAACTTGGAAACTCCGGTTGCCATAGTCAGGGATCCCTGTTTGGCCACATCCATGTACAACCTGTCAGTGTGAGCCTTCTGAGAGAGAAGCAGGTATTCAGAAAAGCAGGCAGAAAGTCTGAGATAGAGAAGGACTGGCTACCTGGGTTCCTGTAGGCTTTCTAATTTCAGGACCAGACTTATAAGATCTGAATACAGTTGTACCCTGAGAGTCAGTGAGATATTGCAATTTCCTTCTAATAAATTCCCTACTTAACCTTAACTATGCGAAATATCTTTGTGTTACTTAAAACTAAAAAAGTGTTAAGACAATTCTACAATCACAATTTTAATTCAATTATCTCAACACCCTCAGCACTTACATCATGCATGCTAATGGTGTTAGAGAAGAACATAGCATCAGCAATATTAAGTCACTTGTTCTAATAACTCTCCCTAAAAGAGTATAAGGAAGTGTGAGTAAGTGAAAGTGTTGGTGGCAGGGGGAGGAGGGACAGAATCTTTATAAAAGGATGCTTTGGGAAAGTTTAAAGGGAGGAAATAATAATAGAGCATAAGAAAAAAATGATCATGATAAAAATTCTGCCCTTTCTCACTGACTTTATTAGAAATATGCCAAAGTAATTATAAGTATATTAGGTCAATGTTAGATAGCAGAATGGTATTTCATTTTCTCTTTATAAAAATAAAAAGGTAAGTCCAGCCTAGACATGAGATGGAGTTCATTCCAAGCGTCACCAAGACCTGCCTCTTTTCATTTACAAGGTCCTATTAAATTAAACCTCGCTAAGAAAACCATTTTCTGTTTTAAAAAAATGAAACCATAAAAGCATTATGGAACAGAAAAATTTGCCATCAACAGACCAGGCATTATGTGAAATTCCATAACAAGAAAAACTAAACAGAATTAACTTGGTGGTAAAACTGGAATCGGAGATGGAGATTTCACACATAAGCATCTCTCTGCGCATGAGTGGTCCAGAGAAGTTCCAAGCTCAGAACCAGCCACCACAAAGGATGGCAATAAACATGGGATGACAGGTGCCTGCAAAGCATCTGGAAGTTAGGCTCTTCTTCTTCACACTCCCCAAAACAAAGGAATAAAGGGAGTGGATGGCAGCAATAACATGCCAGCAGGTCACAGTACCTAAGCATGAAGTATGCTGGGTTGCTTTTCTATTATGAAACAAATCACCACAAACTTGGGGATTTAAAGCAATGCATATTTATTAGGAAGTATAGCCAAGGGACGAATGTTATTTCCAAGACTAGTTCACAAGAAGACTCTGGCTTCCAGATCACTAGCCTTCTTTAGCAGTCTTTATTGGCTCCAAGGGAAGCCAGCTGCCAGGTTGTGAGCTCCTCTATACAGACGCTTAAGATAATTAGAGACCTAGGAGGCCTCTTTCCAACAGCCATCTAGGGACTGAGTACAACACTAAGGAAGTGAACCTAGCCAACAACCGTGGTAGTGAACTTGGAAGCAGAGCCTCCCCCAGTTGAACCACAGACCTGGTCATCATCATGATAGTGACTTTTGAGAAACTTCTGGACAGAGGTATCCAGCTAAGCCATGCCTGAATTCCTGACCCACAGAAATTTGGGGAGTATGGCAAGTTGCTTACGGTGTTAAGCATTATGGAGGAAATTGTTAAGCAGAAACAGATAACAAATAGAGCCCCAAATGAGCAAACAGAAAAGACACTACAGGAAACAAGGATAATGCAGGCAGCAGAGAGTTATTACCTTCAGAGAGATAGGGAAGGATATTAGGGTCATAAAGCAAAAAGAGGCGGCATGGAAAAGAAGTAATCAAATAACAAGAACAGTTCTTGGAAAACAAAAATAATGACTAAAATTTTATAGGTCAATGGATGCACTGACAATAAACCAGACATGGCTAAAAACTAAGCTAGGTGGTCAGAGAGAGATAAAATAATAATGTAATAGGCTATTTATCTACAGGAAATGAGAATCAAGGAACAAATATTCAGTTGTGCATGATTGCTCATTCTCTGTGGGACCAAACACTGATCTTAATATTTTGGTACATATTTTTTATACCTACAATGTAAATATCCTTTACTGTTTTTCTTAATTTTATTTTTAACTTATTAGCATATTAATTATGCATTTTAATGGCATACAATGTGATATGTTAACATATGCATACAGCACTCACTGATCAAATCAGGGTAACCAACATTCCCTCTCCTTTTCATTTTTGTTTGAAGTCTTTGAGCTCCTCTCTTCTAGATTTTCATAAAATATATAATAGGTTTATTGGGGACGATAGTTATCTCACTGTACTTTGGAACACCAAATTTATTTTTCCCTCTGACTGTGTTTGGGTACTCATTATTTAACCTCCCTTATTGGTTTTTAGTTTTTAGAATCAAACTATGACAAAACACAGAGGCTTAATCAAATTTAGAGAACAGAATATAAATATTGAAAAGTGAGGAAAAATGATAATAAAAGCAATAAAATCTCAGGGTTAGAGGCGAAAAAAATAATGAAAACACATTTAATGTTTTATTTACTTATCTTTCCTAGTAGAGAGTCAATACATACTGTCTAAAGTCGATAAATCAACAGAGATTTAATTATATTATTTTAGGACATAAAATCAACTAATTTGAGAGCTAAAAATATGTAAATAACAAAAATGGGGCAAATAAAAAGAATGAAATAATGGAATTTGCTGGTAAATGGATGGAAATGGACAAAATCATGCTAAGTGAAATAAGTCAGACTCAAAAAATCAAAGGTTAAATGTTTTCTCTCATATGTGGAAGCTAAAGCAAAATAAGGGAAAGAAGGCAGTGGGAGAAAGGATTGGATATCACAAGGGTAGAGGGAAGATCAGTGGAGTAGAAGATTGTAAGTAATGTTGATTTCCTTCTTTGCATGTTCTTATGAATCCAAATTGATTTTTTATTTAATAAATATTTACTGAGTGTTGGTGTGTATTCACTCAGGTGCTCAAAGCACTGGGCACAGGCATAAGCAAAATGACAACAACAACTGTGGCCTTGCAAAACTTATACAGTAGTAGAACAAGAAAGAAAAAAATGGATATCCATTAATATGCATAATTAATATGCTAATAAGTTAAAAATAAAATTAAGAATTGAGAAAAATATGCAGGATGTTACCTGATGATTAGTACAGCAGAGGGGAAAAGATGGATATAGACCCGGAAGTAGGAAGTAGGAAGCAGAAGGTCACAGTTTTAGCCAGGGTATAAGACAGGGTCCCCTAGAGAAGATGGTGTTTGTGGCCTGCAGGAGTGAGCCACAGTGACTGGGGGAAGAACAAGGGAACCCCAAGTGCAGAAGCCTGGCACCAGCAGTCAGCCTGGTGTGGCTGAGGAAGACAGAGTAGCAGGTTTCCTGGGGAATTCAGTGGGGAGGGTAAAAGAGGAAACAGGATTCTAAAGCATGGAGAGCAACTCAGAGCCTCAGGTTTCCACCCCCACCCCAGGTGAAGTAAGAACTTTGATCAAATATGTGACACTATTTGCCTTTTTAATAAGATCATTTTGGTTGCTGTGATGGGAAAGTCAGGGGGAAGTAAGGCCTAAGGGAAGATGGTAGAACCCGAGACGATGGGAATATCCCCACAAAAAGGCTAAAAATCAGCCCAGTATCTGGCAGGAGACCTAGCACAGAACAGTTACTCAAATGAAGAGTTGCTGTCAAAACAAAAGTTATCTAACATGATTTATTTTACACAGTTTCTTCTTCTTCATG